ACAGACTGTACTCGCAGAAGTGCCCACACAACTGGTCTCGTACTTCAGGGCCCAGGGTTGGGCCCCACTCAAGCCACTTCCACCCTCAGCCAAGGGTCCTGCACAGGCCCCCCAGGCCTAGGTCCCCTTGGAGGCTGTGGCAAGTCCTGAATCCTGTGTCCCAGAGGTCCCTCGGGGCCACAACCCAACCCTTCACACTCTCCTCAGTGCTAGCACTTTGTATTTTTTGATACTTTTATACTCGTTTCTGCTTTTGCTGCTCTTGATCCCACCTGCTTGCTCCTGACAACCTTCATTCAATAAAGACCAGTGAAGACCAATGCTTTGCCACCACTCTGTGTGTGTAAATTTTAGGTGGGAGGCTGCTATTAGCAATGTTTATATCCCTTCTCTGCACCTCAGTTTGTTGACTTAGGGGTTGTTAAGTGAAGGATGCCTGTGGTGTAAAGCCCCACTCAAACTTGAGTATTTCTGGGCAGATACCTATTCATTCTAGAGACACTGACTCACTGTTTTTGAAAATACAGCCAGGGGCGGTGTGATGTGCCTGTAGTCCTCAGCTTGGGAGGCTGAGGTGGGAGGACTGCTTGAGCCCAGGAGTTCCAGACCAGGTCTGGGCAACATCGCAAGACCCCTTTTCACGCACAAGAAAAGGAAATACAAAGTTTGAATGTAAGCTAAACACCCAGCCTTCACCTTCCCTCCCTCAGGGCAGAGCTGGTCTGGGAACACAAAGATGGAAAGTGTCAGACTTCATAAAAAGCAGCAAAAGGAGAAGAAAGGATGAGTTTTAAGGTGGAGCAAAGGCTATGTAGACTTCCTGGAGGGGAGGGAGTAGTGATAATTTTCGTCCTAAAAGACAGGTGAAAATCCTGAACTTTTTTAAGAGCTAATTTTTTCTTAATAGAGAATACATGTATTCATTGTAGAAAAATTTCTGGCTGGGCGTGGTGGCTCATGCCTGTAATCCCAGCACTTTGGGAGGCTGAGGAGGGCAGATCATTTGAGGTCAGGAGTTCAAGACCAGCTTGGCCAACATGATGAAACCCCATCTCTACTAAAAGTACAGAAATTAGCTGGGTGTGGTGGCAGGTGCCTATAATTCCAACTACTCAGGAGGCTGAGGCAGGAGAATCGCTTGAACTCAGGAGGTGGAGGTTGCAGAGAGCCAGTATTGCACCACTGCACCCCAGCCTGAGCTACAGAGTGAGATTCTGTCTCAGAAAAGAAAAGAAAAATTTTAAGTACAGAAAAAATACCACTCAAACTACCATGTCCTGATAAAACATATTGGGCATATAACTTTTTGTCTACACATATTGTTTTAGCATTTGTTAAAATTTGTTTTTCTAATTTTAAAATGTGTGCTTGTTAGTCTGAAGTTATTTCAAATATAAATATTGTACAAATAGTGGAGCAGGTAAGGGCCCCCGTTTTTCCTAGATCTGGAAAATAGATTTTTATAAATGGGATATTTATACATACTACTTGCACCTTTTTATTTAACACATTTTGGGTGTCTTACTTATCAGAACCTATTGCTTCATTCCTTTTTTTGTTGAGACGTAGTCTCTCTGTTGCCTAGGCTGGAGTGCAATATCGCGATCTCGGCTCACTGCAACTTCTGCCTTCTGGGTTCAAGCGATTCTCCTGCCTCTGCCTCCCAAGTAGCTGGGACTACAGGCATGTACCACCACACCTGGCTAATTCTTGTATTTTTAGTAGAGATGTGGTTTTACCATGTTGGCTGGTCTTGAACTTGAGACCTCAGGTGATCTGCCCACCTTGGCCTCCCAAAGTGCTGGGATTACCGGCATAAGCCACTGCACTTGGCCATCTTTTTTTTTTTTTTTTTTTTGTAGGAGTATACCTTATTTAGCTAATCTCTTATTTATGGAGATTTGAGTCCTAGTTTATTTCAGTGCTATAATGAACATCCTTGCACATATATGTCTGTGCACTTAACCAGAATGTTTCTAAAGAATTTGTTCCTAAAAGTGGAAATGCTATATCAAAGGTTATACTTAAAATTTTAATAGATATTGCAAATTATCCTTCATAACAAAAATTATGGTCAAACTTACCCCTTTTGTTAATCTGACAGGTAAAAAAGAAACAAAAAATAATTTTTAGTTTGAATTTATTTATTTCATTTTTCACTTTTTTTTTTTTTGTGACCGAGTCTCACTCTGTTGCCCAGGCTGGAGTGCAGTGGCACAATCTCAGCTCACTGCAACCTCCACCTCCCAGGTTCAAGTGATTCTTCTGCCTCAGTCTCCTGAGTAGCTGGGATTACAGGCATGCGCTATGTTTCACTATGTTGGTCAGGCTGGTCTCAAACTCCTGACCTCGTGATCCGCCCACCTCGGCCTCCCAAAGTGCTGGAATTACAGGCGTGAGCCACCATGCCCAGCTTGAATTTATTTAAATATGAAGGATAGGTAACATCTTATATGGTTATTTGTAATTTATAGTTATTCTCAATAGCCTATTCATAGTCTGCATGTATGTGTTATAGCTTTTATTTTAAGGTTATTAGCCCTTAATCTCATACATGTTGAAAACATTTCTTCCCAGGTTGTTGTCTTTTTATTTATAGTATCCTTTGGCATATAGAACTGTTTTAATATGGAAATATTATCTTTTTATTTATGCCAGTTTAACTTTTTAAAAAGTTATCCATATATCATTTATTATTATTACTATTTAGACAGAGTCTTGCTGTGTTGCCCAGGCTGGAGTGCAGTGGTACGATCTCAGCTCACTGCAACCTCTGCCTCTCAGGTTCAAGCGATTCTCCTGCCTCAGCCTCCCTAGTAGCTGGGATTATAGGCACGCACCAGCATGTCCAACTAATTTTTGTATTTTTAGTAGAGATGG